TAGTACAAGCAATACATTTTTTTTTTGGATAATTTTTATCTTTTTCAATATAAAAACGAAGGTGTCTAGCTGTCAGATTTAAAGGATCAAATAATCGAGACTTTGGAGACCAATTACAGATTTTCGCTCTGAATCATGCTTTTCAATGATACTTTCAATTAGTTGTAATTTAAAGTAAAAAAAAACGATAAATTTGAAAGATTTTTTATTTTTAATAGAACATATAATCATTGAAAATAACAAGATCAATCAAATAAAAAGCTATTTTTTTATCTCTTTACGAATTGTATGACGAAAATGGGTGATAACATATATCAAAATGTAGATCAGTAATCGTTTATGAATTTTACGAAAGGTTGTTTACAAACTTCGGTGCAAACTTCCTATGTCCTCAATCAAAACATATACATATATATGTCTATGTAATATTATCTTCATCATATCGCATTTATTTGTATTCAATTTGTTCGCATTGAAGATTACCTATTACCAATTTATAGAAGATAGAACGTAATAGTAGGAATGTTAAGCAATTTGTATATTTTTTAAGTGAAATTTAACTTACATATCAAAATACTTACATATCTATATAGATCCTTTTATAAATTAAAAAAATTTGTTTTACTATTTCATTACTAGAATATTTGAGTAATTTAAGAAATAAGTAATATAAGCAAATATGTCATTTAAAATTTGGGATGAAAGGAAAACTCAGTTATAAAGTTATGAGTTATGAAGTCAGTTATGAGTTATGAAATCGTTATTAAAAACCAAAACAAATATTAGGAATGTAACATGTAATTTTTACATAAATTTTTACATAAATTTACATATATTATGCATCGCAATGTCACAAAACGATATAAACAATATAAATTTCTGCGAATAATAATAATTGTTCAAAAAAAATCGAAGAAAAAAACTTAAAGACAAACACACATGACGCAAGAAGATCACAATTGCGTTGGCATTTGAATATCAGGAACGATTAGATTAGATGAAATCAGCAATCAATACATGATATTTTATCAAGATCATTTACAATTGAATAATACGTGACATTATTTGTATAAGTATGTCAATGTGACGCGGAATTTTAATTGTGAAAAAACTCACGTACAATTATGCTCTCCGTTTTCGTTTAATGGTATTTTATCTAAGCGTTTGTATTGTAATTGGCATTGGTATTTTACCTAACAACGCTCGTCCAATGCTATCGCACTCACTGCACGCACTAAACTAGTTGAGGATCGACAATAAGAATATCACAAGGGTTATCATCATGAAGAGATAATATATCTATTGGCTGACGTATTATTGACGAACATGAAGTCTCATAAGAAAATAAGTTGACCTCCGAGGACTCCTTTCGAAATGTACTTTGTCGAATAGACTTGCCGAGAGTAAACAATTTTTATTGGATACTTACATACAACACAAGTAAATTAATCAATTTATTATAGACGTGAGGAAAATTACATCGATAAGATAATCTGTGAATAACACGATCCAAAAATTCTATCGTGAATTACACAATCGTTTTATCGTAAGGTCACGATGCTAGAATGCATAACATTCCAAAATAACATCCACATTGGTAACATAACGGCAGTGGCGACATTGTAGAACCAATTACCATATATCATAGAATCAACAATGCTGAAAACAAGTGCCTGCTTATTGGCACGATAGCTTCTGAGAAACAGGGATGTAATGGGATCGGTGGGAAAATTAAGATATGTGTAACCCATTACAACAATCGCCGACAAAATAAATGGATGTAGCATGATCCACACGATATATTGGCAGCAGCGGAATCTGTAAAAGCGAAATGTTAATTTTAAACATGCGAATTTCAAATAAAATAGAGAATGGACGCAACATAAGAATCAATTTCAATCGCGCTCACCTGGACGCAGATTCATGATGTGGTGTTATCAAAAATACAATTGGCACATACACAACGGCCGTCACTAATGCTAATGAGAAATTGTGCATAGCTATACACATTAATGCGGTAGCTAGCTCGATTAAAGCAATAACAAATACGAGCAATATATTTTCGTATTTGATTGATCTACAAATTATATTCATTAGTAACGCGCAATTAAATCGTACAATACTTTCTTGTTTTACCTCTTCAAATAAAAGCGGCCAAATATCGTGAGAATCGTGATTAAAGCAAAACTGATGTATAATGAATCCTCTGTACGTAGATTCAACATCTGTGATCCGACTAAAGTAAAAATTCGAGGAGAAGCCATAATTAGTACTCCAAATATATGCGCCCACAACACTTCGGAAGCGATACTTCCAATGTCAAATTTGTCGACCTGTTCAGTAAAATAGAAATATTTTTGGAATCATGATAAAAAATATATTAACTAAATATAGAATTTTACTACCTTATTTGATAAACTTTGTTTATTCTTTTTTGTTTCATTCGAATTATTTGATGTCTGTAATCTTTGCCAAATAGAAAATGCCTTTATGAATAAACTAGCAATTATTAGTACCAAAGGTCGCATATATAATCCTGCAAAATAATTTTTATTTATTCATTTATCTGAGTCTAAAAAATTAAAATATATTCAAAAGATATTTATTTCTTTTTCTTACCAATAGAAATGTATCGATCGGTAGAAGGTAATAAATAGAAAAAATACGACTGATGGAAACGCTCTAATAAATTATTAAGCGATCTCACTATACTTTCTACTATGCGTCCTACTTGATAAAAATTTGTTCCTGTTTCTTTTCCAGATTTTTTGAAACCTTCTAACGTAATGGCTTCAATACCAAACCTAAAGACAAATTTTGGTTAAATGTGAAAAATAATATTACTATAAAAGACATAAAAGATTGAAATCTAAGTATACATGTTATATATTACATGTGTTAAATAAAAATATTTTTTAATATAATAAGTCCCAAGTAGCAAACACAGCATCGCTTGCAAAGCGCTAAAAAACGATTAGATGTGCTTCTACTGATTTATTTTGTCCAATACTATATATATGCATATACACCTCTTTCTTACTTTATTTTATAAATTGTACCTGTGGAAGAGTCCATGATTACCAGTTGGAATTCCAGTAGCTTGCGTCGCTACCATGCTCATTAACGTGTTAAAATGATACCACCAACTTTTAAATTTATCCCTGTAATTAACATCAAATCGACGTTGGAAAGACTGTTGAATGCCTTCTTTAGCTATCATGTTTTGTGCTAAGTTAAAAAGATCTAAATTGGGAAGCTGTCCATTTAGACCTTCTACCTAAGAACAAAAATGATTTTATAGATGGATAATAAAATATATATAGTTTTCAAAATTTATGTACCTTAACATCAATTGACGTGATTTTCATTGCATGAAACTCAAGATTAATAGCAGCTTGAATAGATCCAGCTCTGCCAGATAAATCTCCTGCTAGCAAGATTCCTTCCTGGCCACTGGTAGATCCATGATATGCATCTAGCCATGCTTGCATACCCAATTGCTCATGTTCTGTTACAAGAAATATTATATCTTTTGCCCAATATTTTTGTTCTATAAACAAATTATCAATTATTATAAAAAATATACTATGATATATCATTTGTTAATCATTGAATAGTAATTTACAGAGATAAGTAATTTACTTCTGCAAAACTTTGCGAATGCAAGTAATAGAGCTATCGAAGGTGCAGTATCTAAATATATGCTGTTGATAGGTCTATATGGCACACTGACTACAATAGCTTCGGTACTGGATGCTCGTGGAGCTCTTACAATACCATAAACATTTTGTCCTACAAACTGTAAAATTTTGCATATATATGTGTAGAAAGCTTATTATTTATTTTAAAATTATATTACCTTCTGTTCCTGAAATGGATAACTTAAAGAAAAATTATGTACAAATGCATCTAAATGAAGCTGACTGAATTTTGCCGAGAGCCATGCATAAGGCATGTTATCTGGATATCTCTTCATCTCGTGACTAAGTTCGTAGTAATACTGCTTTGACGTTTGTTCCAGATTACTTTCCTTCGTGACTAACCCAGGTAATAAAGCATTCTCAGAAAAATAGGTATCTAAACATTAAATTAGTTTATAAATAACGAATTAAAATTATGGCATTATGCCTTTAATTCTTAAAAAATGTATTTATAGAAAAACCACACATACTGTCATTAAACGCCGGTAACGCTAAGAGCATTAGCCATACAACTCCTCCTATATATAATACAAAGCATAATGGTTTCTCCCATTTTAATAATAATTTTATGATTTTGCCGGTTCCAGCTCTAGGATCCGTAAGTAAACCCATCTCTTTCGTTTTACGCACACAGACAAATGTAATTCAAAATTTAAAAGTGCAATCACTCTTCACTTCCTTCAAAATGTCAATAATCTAACCTAAAATCTCATATACATCACAGAGAAACCTGAGAGCGTTCATTATTTCTTCGTGAGTGCATTCTATTTAGCGCGCACACATTCACAAGCATTATTATCCTTGTTTAACGTTTGATAAACAACAAGAATGATTCCATAAGCTTTGCGAACCGTGCGCATCGATTGCGAATTCGCAGTTCGATTGTGAATGTACTCCACGCTTATAGCGCATCAACGTCCATTTTTACGATGTAGAAACTAGATACACATCTATTTTGTGAAACTGTCGATAAAATTGTAATGTTGAAAATGGATACATATGTCTATGCTAACAAGATCTTTTTCTCTGCAATTGTCATCTTTATCACCGACGAGATACTATTAAAGACAGACATTCTTACGGGGAGTTCGCGTCCTTGTGAATATTGAAGTAATTAAGAGTTAAAAACTGATAATATTGTACTAATTTTATGATTTATTAGTTTAGTAGACGTATTTATGCATTTAGAACTCGATTTTTTTTTAAATTCTGATTTTAGTGTTATTGTCAAAGTTTTATTATTATCAGAGATGATAACTGTAGAGAAAAAAAATGGCAATTTTTCTGCAATACATAAGATATTATAGCTTTACAAGTATGCATATTTATGGAACATTTATGTAATAAAAAATCATGAATTTAGTAATGTATGAGCCAAATATTTATGTTAATAATAGCAAATTTATATCAATTGTCGATAATGTCAGCGTTCTTCAATTACCTTCGGTCTCTTTTTATACCGCCGAAAATTTGCTCAGGGTTGACGGTTTTTAATAGTATCTTGTCGGTGTGTCTCTATTTATAATCAAACTTGGATGATAACATTAACAGTCTAAAATGAAAAAATTTAATTTAAATAAAAATTTTTTTATGTAAAAATACTTGACACTGCTAAATCGAATAAGAAAAACTATGAAAATAATTAATTTATCATGTATATAAAAATATAAATTTATTCTCTGGTGGAAAAATTTTTCTGAAGCTTTGCAAAAATTTTGTTAAAATTGATATTTTAGCAAAAATATTAAAAATTGCTGGCATTGAACTAAAATTTCTCCTTAAATTTGTCCGAAAATTTTTGCAAAAATGTTACGACATTTCTCTAAAAATATATTAAATATTCTTTAATATTTTGTTGAAAGTATCGCAAAAGTGTTACAAATACGCGAAAATTAGTTTTTATGTATTAATTTTTAACATAAATAATTTTAATCTATGTATGATGACAATATTTTAAATATGTTCTTGTCAGTACTATGCAATTATATTTAACATTAATTATTTTTTTCCATACGTATTCCATCTTTTTCACAACATCTTTGATCAGATATGTTACAACTATATTAGCATATTTTATGAATCATTGAAGAAGCAGTTTCCAATCGCAGAAGTCAAAGTACGCTATGTTAGAATACCATAAATAGTTAATTATTGAATTTCGAGGAAATGTTTTTTTTTATCATAATTTTATCGTATGTTCTCTGAAATATGATACTAATTATTAATATTTATATTTTAGTACATAAAAAACTGGATTAATTAATTTTTGTTTCTTTAAATTTTAGCGAAATTTACAGTAGTGATAATTGAGCAATGAGCAAGACATTAATTGTAATTGATGGCAATGGAAAAGAATATTGAACAGAAGAAAAACTCTAAACAAAAATATTGTAGAAGACTAATTCTAAAATATATAATATCATTTATAAATCGCTCTTTCGATTAAAACAATATGCACGTTAAATATTATTTCGCAGTTGTAATATTCTTGAAAATATTAAGCCTGGTTATTGCAGATTCATGTAATAAGAAGATGTAATTTTTAAAAGGAGAACAATCAATGTAATAAATTGGAAACAATAAGACAAACATATTTAATATAGCTTTTATATATAGGACGTTCATGATATAAAAGAAGTTATATGTGATTATATATACATACATAAATAATAGAAATGTAATGCAAATAAAGTAAAGAATGTAGCAATATAAAATAAAATATATGACTTAGATTCTTCTTTCTATTTATTGTTTCCAATGTTAACATTGTTCTTTGTATGAGCCACAAAACCCAATTATTTTTTATTTACTACATAACTCCTACTTAATTTGCACTCCACGAGCGCGTTGGATTGAATAGGAGTTATCCCAGTAAACAAGAATGGATTAAAATGGATTGAAATTCTTTTCTATCCAAATGCGCGCGCGTATTTTAAATAGTGAATACTTTTTTTTTAGATTTAATTGGATGCAATTGAATTGAAAAACTTTCTATTCAAAAGAATTTGAATTAAACTGCATTTACAATGCACAGAAAATGCTAATATTATTTTTAGATTGAGAAAGGCATAGAGATATGATCCATTCAATTCCTATAAACGAATAAAAATGCATTCAGGATTGAAAAGCATTAATTTTAACATTCGTGAATGAATATTTCTGAAAATCTAAATCCATTTCAATTCAATTCAATTCATTCTCATTTACTGGGATGGTAGGAACATGTTGGAGCATGTTAGAGCATGCTGGAGCATGCAACGCGAATAAACTTTATATCTTCTTTTTCAGTGCGTAATACATCAGGAATTGATTTATCTGAATGCAAGATATCTCAACTAGGAATTGAGTATAAAGGTTCTATTAACATAACTGTTAGTGGATTTCATTGCCAATTATGGACAGCCGCACAACTACTTCATAAAGTTAGTTTACGACACAAACCTGCATTCTGTGTGATAAGTAAGATAATATAAAAATATAATGAATGTCTCGAATTCTGCTTCATAATCTCTATGTATATCATATTATGTCATTATTATTTATTACAATATTATATCATTATTATATTATTATATGTTCCTATATATATATATGATGTCCCAGAATGACGTGACTTTGTGCGCAGGTACCATCGCATCTCGCAGGCTATTATGTCATAACTCAAGCAATGCGCTTGCTAGGCAGTTCTCCTTCTTCGTATCCTAAGCGAATGCGATCGATGATGAGAGCGTTTTTGATGGTAGATCACGCTGTTATACGCTTGTTAGACAATTTTTAGAAATTAATATCTCATTAACTATTGTAAAATAATACAAGATTTTTTTTACCCAGTAAGTTTAGTCTGATCTATTTGCTCACGAAAAGTGTTACAGTCATTCTGGGATATCCTGTATATTTTTTGAGACGTGTGCAGTAAAATGTTGCAAGTTCTAAAATTATGCAAGTACGTTTTATTGTATGAATGTAAGTATTTTATTACATATCTATCATGAAAAATACTATAAGTGAAGAAAAATGACATTACAACTGAAACCATTGTAAGATTATTGTGCAAATAGTAACTTTATAACAACGATATTTGTTGCGCGCGTGGTATTTCGGTGCGGTTTATTAGTTCGTGATTTGCAAATTTAATTTTGGATATTGTGGGCATTTTTTATATAAAATAGAGAGATTATCATAATGTTATCATATATTTCTATAAAATTTATATCCATTATCATAATCTTTAATGTCATGTATAACTTTTTTGTATACTCTGAAATTTTTCTTGGCTATGTTCTTTATATTTTTTTTTGTATGTTACATCATTAAAATTTAATTAAAATTTTTCTATTGTTAGAACAAGAATATAAGTGATGCAGATTTTTCAGAGAAATCTATGGAACTTGCAAAAAATTATTGTAGAAATCCTACCCGAGATCGAAGAGGTCCTTGGTGTTACACGTTAGATTCTACAGTAATTGATGAGGAATGCGATATTCCTCTTTGTGATTATAAAGGTAAATATTACTGATTTGGTATAAAATGTTTTATACATGTAAGTTAATACTTCATTGACTTTGTCGATGAATAATTCTGATAAGATAATGAATGAAGAGTTAAAATATATATTTATTTTTTTAATAAGCTTATGTTTCTTATTTAGTAGGTTCTATATATTATTATCTAATAAAATGTAATATTATCTAGTAGAATATAGCATATGGTTAACAATTAACGAGGAAATGTATGCAATTAATTTAGGATTAGGATTAATTAAGATTAATTTGAGAGAAGTATTGATATATCATATCATTGGTAATATCTGTGATTATATATTTTTAATGTTTAAATATAACTTATATAAATATATTTTTAATTATTTGACTTTTTTGTTATTTATTTATTTATATAAGTTTTATTTATATTATATATAATAAGTTATAATAAATGAATATAATATATAATCATGACACAATACGTAAACAATAAACTCAAATAGAAGTTTAGATCCGCGGATTCAACTGCATCTGCATTAAAAATACGTTCTACTGCAAACATAATGTGATAGCATGTTGATGACAGAAAATGCATATCGTGTTTAATTTCTACAATCAATTTGTGTTAAATTATGTTTAAATCTGTTTAATTTTTTTATTTTCAATTATATTTTATTGTTGTTTTTTTTATAACATGATGTATAGAGTGTTTGAATTATTAATACAACGATCGTGAGTAGGTAAAGCAGACTAACTAAATAAAAAAGTTCTACATAATTTGGTGACTACATTGTAACAGTTAACAAAATCTAATTCATAATTATTACAAATTAATCTTCAACTAAATATAAAAATTAATATCTTTTTATCTAACAGTATTATATGTTAAATAAATTAATGGGAGTTGAAATAATTTTTTTCGTTTCTACACAGAATGTCGAATGGCTGGAACTGCTAATGACTATATAGGTACATTATCGACAACTCGTTCAGGTCGAACTTGCGCGAAATGGTTAAATAATTATAATTTCGAACAGATACAAAGATCGAACGCATCACTGAAAACAAAACCTTCTTCTAGATTTTTAAGATTGATTCGCACAAAATCTCTCTCGAAACGATATTTGATGACAAAACAAAATTTATTGACATCATCACAATTACTTATGAAACCACCATCGTTAAATTTATCTCAATCAGGATTTAAACTTGACAAGAATATCAATTTTGTTGACCAAACATATTTGAATGACAGTCTTTATCCTGAACTTAGTGTACGAGATGCTAATAATTATTGTAGAAATCCTTCGCGCAATATTGCTGGCACATGGTGTTATACAACGGATCCATTAGTACCACAAGATCTGTGTAATATAAGAGATTGTGAAAAATCGGGTAAAGTTTCAATTAAGTTGTTAATAATAACAAAATGTTTATTTTTAAATTGTGACAGATATTCAAGGAAAATTCAATATTCTCTTCCATATTTTTAAAATGTCTAACTTTTATTTTTGAAACATTCTATATTCATAATTACATTATGCCACCTCAGGGAAAAAATGTTATATATAATATGGACATATTTGATATATAATTACATATAATGTTATGTAATTATATATAATTATATATGAAACATTTTTTTCCTATGACGTTTAACATTTATGTCATAGTTATATGACCATGTATTGTCGTATCATATACAGATAAAGATATAAAAATAAATTAATTAAAAGATAGAAAGTTACAATAGTGAATATATAATATTATTAGACAGCTATCAATGTTGCAGAATTTTAAACATATTATTAATAATGCAATGTTATTATAATGTTTAAATCTTTCTTAGAGCAAATACTTTAACATTGCTGCAATTTTATGGGAATGTTGCAATAATATTTCGCAATATACGTATTTGTAACATTGTGTAATCTTCCAATGAAGTATTTCTGTAATATATGTATTTATAAATCCATTTCTACTACATGGATAAACATGGGTAAATGTATTTGTATTTATTCTATAGAAGAATGTATATTTTTCGTGAAGGGGCACGGTATTGGACGACGATTATACGTTTTACCAGAATATCGTACAGAAGGCTTACGTTTCTCATTAAAAACATGGGAACCTGATCATCCAGATTCCATAACATTTGTGTTCACTGCTGACGATGGATTAAAATCTCGTTATATTCTTAAGATTGGAGCTTTCGATAACGAGAAAGTACTTCTATATTATGAATCAGAAGAAAAGGGTAATTTGAAATCATGCATATTTATAATACATTTTATTTATAAGTTAATCCTATTCCTTAATTATTCATTAGACATAATTTTGGTGAAAAAAAAAACATTACCACATTTATTATATCTTGGCAAATGGAGCAATTTTGTTATTCGTATACCTCGTGGACATGTTCTTCTTTATTATGAAGGAGCATCAAATCCGCTGTTTGAATGGAAACATTCTGAACCGTCCAAAGCATTTTTACCAGTTTATTATTATTACAATAGCGAAAACGATCATGCGATAGGAGTTGCTTTTGATTGTGCCTTAAGTATATTTTGTTTAAAATGAGTTTTTACAATTATTTCCAAATTTTTTTTTTTTTTTTCATTATTTTTCGTTCTATTATCACAGAATGCCATATAGAGAACACACAAACCAATCTTTATACTAGAATACTTCCACTATCAATATGGTCTAAAGAAGATATAGTCAGACCTAATAAACTAATGTTAATGATTCGCGCCAAAGGTGTTGTTCTAATACCATTACTTTTACTGCCTGCAACATCAGGGTAAATAAAAATAATTATTTCGCTGATCTTTATTTTTATTTATAACATGTTACATTTTATAGATTTTATGCACTTACACTCGGTGAACGAGGTCAATGGATATATTTCCTGAAAAATACATATCCTAGAGTAAGAATTTATCACAAAGGGAACGCACTCAAACCTATATTCAATATGAATTCGTGGACAAATATTACCATAAAGTAATCAACTGAACGTATATTTGCATATTCTATGGAATCAAATTAAAATATATAATTCAACTTATTCATGGTTTTTCGTAATTTTCTCGGAAAGATGGTCTGAAAATACAATTGAAGTATTTTGCAACAAGACAAACGTATTTTATTATGTGCATCGTCAACCGCTCATTTTTTATTTTTTTTCGCTTGCCGTGGATCCAAAAGGTTGGGCTACTTGGAGTGCAAATTGCATACCATCAGGTATAATATAGGAAAAAGATCGAAAATTTAAAAAAAAATTTTAAATAAAAAATTTATATTCTAAAATATTAAGGATCTTTATATCCTTATTTATTACTTTTTAATAATATTTGTTATTCAAATTATAGAGCACCAAAAATAATAATCATTATTATATTGTGTTTGAACTGTTGATATTGAAGCTTATTGTTTATAATTATTTAATTGTTATAGATATCGATGGACCCCCTTTAGATGGCGGATGGTCAGAATGGGGACCATGGATGTGTAGTGCTAGTTGTAACGGTGGTGTAGGAACTAGAAGACGATATTGCAATTCACCGGAACCTAATGTGCGGGGGGAACCTTGTACAGGACCCAGCAGCATGACAGGTCGTTGTAATACGATTCTTTGCGGGGACATAACTGATGGTATTGATACGAATTATTACCTAATTATTTACTAATATTTAATAATGCTTTCATTTTTCTATTAGTCAATAAAATATTTTAATTTCGAAATATTTTATTCAATATTTCTGTATGTGAAAGAATATACCAAGTATCTCATTTTAAAAGAATCATCTCCGAAAAAAAAGAATTTCTTCAAAATTATTTAAAAGCAATTACTATTTTGAAAATAAAATTATTATAATAATTGTTTTACTAATATGGATTTTTTTAATTATAAAGTATTAAAATTCTTTTATATAAAACAGAATTATCGAAAAAACAACTTTCAAAAGATAAATATCATCTTTTTATATCTTAAAATTTTTGTAATATTCTTTATAAGCTAATGATATTTTTAAGAAGATATTTTATTATATCTTCCTAAGTCATCTTATTTTACCAAATAACGAATAATTGGAATACATGTTTCTAATTACTTTTAATTGTATAAATAAATATCATGTGATAATCACATTATATAATATTATGTAATATTATATCGAATATTTTTGTCTTTTTATATTAATTGTTTTAAAAAAATATATTATAATAATTTTTACTTGTATTTTTAATTGTAGATACCATAACTTTAATAAAAAAAGTTATTGCATATAATCATACTGCTTTTACTGTAAAGGAATATGCATCAGTATCACTCTCTTCAGATTCTAATATTGTGAATACTATCGGAATTGAATCACCTAATTCTGAAATACAGTGGTCCCATAATGGAATTTTTATTCAAAACAATCATCACAGACAAATTAAAGATTACAAAATCAGTACGTAATATAACATTTATTTACAATAATTGATTATTTATACATAACGATACGTATAAATTAACATATATAATTTTGTTAATATTTACAGTAATAAATAGAGCAGCATTAAATGATTCGGGCGTATATACGCTTACTATACATCGAATAGATGGAACATATATGATAATTAAGGTGATAACTTTGGCAGTAGTTCCTATTAAGGAAAGCATTACTATTCGTGAAACTCTACCTATGCATGTTACATGCCACTGTGCTATCCTCGGTTATGTATATTCTAATTTGAAAGTTTATTGGATGATCAATAGTAACGTATGGAAAGACTATGGAGTTACATTGCCTGTAGCTACAAATGTTGATTATGTTCCTACTATAAATAAGTCTCATCACGGTATATGGAAATGCATCGTGGAGCAAACTGACTTGAAATTTAAATGGACAACAAATGTAATCCGCGTGAAAGGTACGAAATATATATTTAATACATTTTTTTAAACATTAGAATAATTTAATATTATTATATATTTAAATATTATATATTTAAGTTAAATAGAAAATAATTAAGATTCTTTCAGCAGATAGTTAGATCCTGCTTGGTTTCTGCCAATCTGCTGACATATAATGTCAATAAGCGTTTTGTTTAATTTCTGCCAATCTGTTGACATAGGATGCGTTTCGAATTACGCATGATGCACATGATGTATCGTTGTATTCTTCTTTATTAATTGATGAACAACAAGAACAAATGATCATCATGCGCTTCATGCGTAACTCGGAACGTACCAATAGAATGTTCAACAGATACAGTCGATAGAATAGAAGCAGAATGCGATATTAGTTGAAATCAATCTAACTAACACATCTGATCAAATCTGCTACTAATCTGTCGATTCTACTAACATTTTGCTATCTGGCTAATATTCATACGACTATATATAAATGCACATACATACACATATATGCCTGTTGAAACATTTGGTAAATTTATTAATATAATATTATAAACATTCTTATAAAAATCTTTTTCATATAGCCACAGAATTAATTGCAGTAATATTGCTGCAATATTGCAGCAGTATTGCTACAACTTTTGTGCTGTAGGTTTTGTGCTATTTATTTATCAAAACGATGGAAAATTATTTTACTTTCTGTAGAAAATATTGTCCCTTTTCCAAATACTTTTATTACTGAAAATTCTGTGTACTGTCTATGAAATATTTTTATCTCATGAAATTTTTTTTTTAATCGGACAAGTTCTCAATCCTCCAAATTGGCGTACTCACTTAATGGAAGATAAACTAACACGACCAATTTTTGGATGGATGCGAAACGAAAAATTTGTGGCTTATTCAGTGTTGGTTCTGATTCTATTTTTGATATGTTGCATTATAATAGGTTTCATACTTTATTTCAGGTAATAATTATGTAATAATTTGGTCATTATTAAGCATTGTATAATATACAATATATCTCCGATCTACAGGATCACCTCTTGTGACAGGTAGAATGGATTGAACTGAATCGGAAAGTCCTTTATCATTTTGCAATACTTTAGAACATATTAATTTCTAAAAATCACCGAATAAGCCATACTCATGCGGACTACTATCAAGTATACATCCATCGGTCGCGATCGTTCATGGAAAGTGCTTGATAGGCACGCGCTAGGCGCTATAACTCGAGCAACCATGAGCATTCAGCTTATTCATATTTAGAAATTAATATCTCCTAAAGTATTGCGAAAATTGCAAAATGGTAAAAAACTTTTCGATTCAGTTTAGTCCACTCTATCTGTTCACGAGAGATGATCCCGTAGGTTCGGAACATCCTGTATATTGGGTATTCTAATTTTTTATTATCTTTTCATACCCATTTGAAAAGAAAAATAAAGAAAAATAAATTCTATCTCTAGTCACGAAGTATCGTGGCGCTATCGAGGACATTTCTACTAGAGAATTTTTATATCAGGGATATTTTAATTTAATAATGAAAATTTAATTTTAAAATGCCTAAAGATTTTATAAATACGTTGATAATTAATAAAATATATACTGTACTAGAATAACTTATTATATTTGTTCCACGACAAGGTTTCGAAAAAGTTTGATGCAATGACCATGAAGAAAAAATGTAAAGGAAAATTTAACAGCGAAGAAAAATATATAATAGAGAAGAAAAATTCTATTATTAAAATTCTAATATTTAGAAAGATGGAAAATAAAAATATAATACCTAATTTTATTAAATTTAAAAAATTCCTCAGGACATTTAAAAGTAATGGTTTCGGATAATAAAATAGAAAAAAATCACAATTAATTAAAATCATATCAAAGCGAAGAAATCTTACTAAAATAAAATATTTAATGAGAGATTTTAAAAATGTATAAACGTTGTTGAGAGGAAAATTAAATTAAATTAAATTAATATCTAAAGGTATTATATTTAAAATATTGTATAATTACATTAAGGTTTCTCCTTTTTTCGAGATTTTTTTATATCGAAATAATTATTTCATAATTAAGTAAGGTCTTACAATAAGTATAAAAAACAGATATTTATGTCGTGACAAATGCATTTCATTGCATTTCTATACAATTTTAAATTTTCAGTCTCGGTATGAATATGAGCTCTGTTATAATCGGAATATCGAGGGAATTTTTGATAGTTGCGCATTTTGTTGAATTCTTCAGTTGTAGTCGAAAATGTATAAGCGAAATGAGACACCAATGGGAATCAAATGAGAAGGAAGGATAAATGAGAGTAAAAAGAGCTTCGAGAAAGAGAGCACGAGGATCTCTGTGCCTCTAGTGCGGGAAAGATTTGCTTTACAGGGGAAGAAGTAACTGGTGGGGAGTGAGCAGTTGCCAGCAGATTAGTAGAACAGACCTGATGGAAGCACGATGAAAACAGAGAAAAAGATACGATGAAGGCTATTTTCTGGAAACAGTAGTAGGAGCGACAAGAACAGACATTGTAAGAAGATAGGGAACGTAGAAAAAGAAAGAGAGAGAGAGAGAGAGAAAGAAAAAGAAAGAGGAAAGAAGAGAAAAAGAAAGGAAGAGGGAGCGAAGGAGAGGGAGAATAAAGAGCGACAGGTGCGCGGACATCCACGTGGTTTCTTTGAAGCATCGTCGCGAATGGTGGAAGAGCGAAGAAGAAGAAGAAGAAGAAGACAACGATGACAACAGCGACGAAGATGACGAAGAAGACGAGGAGGATTACCGGTCGGCTTCCTTATGCCGGCTGAACAGATCGGCACTCGCTCCACACTCAAGTTACCCTCACGCCAAGTGGATGTGGTGGGGTGAACATTACACTGGCGTAGAGTCTATTTTGTTTGGATAAATCATGATTCTTCACACGTAAATGTTCACAAATGTATCAGTTACTTAAATGAAGAATTAAAGACATTACGAAGAAATTAATAATAGCTTGCCTCATCTATTTCTTATACTTTTGCTCGTAGGAGAACATTATAAATTTCTCATATCTCATTCAATCGAGGATGTTGTTAACAGTGGCTCGATCACATGACAGCGAGCGGCTGATGAAGAGTGGAGAAATCCAGTCGAGGCCAGTCGAATATCCCTAAGGCTATTTCCTACTACGCCGATGAAAAAGAATAATAATCACGACGAGAGCTCGGTGGGGCGAGTGGGAATAGGTGGTTTCGAGAGGGGAAGGGCTCACCATTCGGTAGCAAATGCTGCTAACCCGTCGCAAGGTCAAGATCAGTCGGTTAATCCCGTCCAGTCGGCTGAGGGCCTTGCACCTTGCACAACGAATGATTCTATTTCTCCGTTTGTTTGTATTCTCGTATATATACGTGTATGTGTTACTCCGTGTTTTAATATAATACTCGACAAATATATACATATTAACGCGTGATTAACAAATTATTATCGTGGTAACGTTTGAAGATTAAATAAATCATTTTTAAAGAACGTGTGATTTTATTTGTTCTGCGTTGAAATTTATTAACAATATACTTTTCGTTTGATACGCAATATACTAAATGTGTTTCGATTTTACTTCGCTAAAACATTCTATCTTGATAGTGGAATTACAGATATACTCAAAATAATAATTTGCAAAGTGGAAGTACCGGTATAGTGTGATAAATCCTTAAAATACTTTTTTCCACGCGAGTCTCTGTTATGGAAACTTGTGTATTGATACCTAGAGAATTTTCCTTGGTCCTTACCAACGATCAGTCAGCCTGCAAGAATCTCTTCAAGAATGATTCAAACATATTGGATATGAGAATTTCGGTATGGTCGAATGTATTTATCCCATCGGGAACCTTGATTTATCCATTTCAAGGATCAATTAGGTTCGACAAAATTGACCTTTATTCTCTCCTTGATGACAATGATGTAAGTACAAACACTGAATACTTTTTATAAATATTTTATATTTTATTTAATTATATATATATAAGACTTTAAATTTATTTAAAGTTATCTTTTATAATACGAATTAATAGTAATTCGTATTAAACTTAATACTGAATTAAATAATTAATATTATTCGTATGTAATTGTAATAACACATACAATAGAATCAAAAATAATAGCGCAAAAAAGGAAGTAAAATTAAAATGCAATGTTTTTACGCAAATATATCGAAACAAAGGTGCTCAAAAACATAATAAAAAAACCGAAAATTATGCCATAAAAAATAAGTAAAAGTAGACTAACTATTTCATTATATATTTATTTTAAAAAAATATATATTTATTCAAATAAATCCTACAGAACGCAGTTCTCTGAGCGGTATCTTGAGGATGTCCTTATGTTGTAGACATCCTTTGGACACCCGGTAGAACTGTATTGCAGGATGTTTTTTCACGATAGTAATAAATTTAATATAAAATACGAAAGACATTTAAAAAATGTATAAAATATAATAACAACAATTTATACATTGATATCACTCTGTGATTATAACAAACTTGTTTCAGAAGAAATTATAGCACATAAATATCTACTGAGTATTATTTGAAAAAAAATTAAATAATAAATTTCCCTTCTTCTACTTATTAAAATAAGTACTCAAAAAAGAATTCGTATATTGTCATCAATGCGTATATTGTTAATGTGTTTTTAGATCAGACGCGAGTATGGTTGCTATGACGAAGTCTTCTTCTCCAATTATAATCTTAACAAGCGTCAATGTAACTGGATAAGATTTCTCCGTATCGTTCAATCATACGATGAACAAGTTAATCTAATTGGTACAAAGGTAAAGGGTAAGTCTCGAAAACAATGTCTAGGTTGATAAGTTTTTAAATTCTGTATATGGATAAAATAGTAGTGGCTGTATTGAAATTATTAATTAATATTAATGTAACTTCAATATAATTATTTATATATATATATATATATATATAATAGAAATAAATCAAATATAATGTAATACAAATTATTGAATTAAATTATAGACTAAGAAAAAAGATCTTATCTGTAGTATCTTTCTTTTAGTATTTTTTGTTTATTTTATATATATGTGTGAGAGATTATTAAATATTTGTTCCTTCTATTATGTTCAATCTTATCTTGCCAAGTAGCACAGTAAACGCTTGTAAAGCGTTAAAAAAGCAATTATTTATTATATGAAGTTATATAATATAAATTTTTTTTAACGCTTTGTTAATGCTTTGTAAGCGCTGTACTATTTGAGTTTTTAAGTACTTATAATTTATTTACAAAAAAATAGTAAGCGTTTAAAAGATTTTGTAAAATTATATTTAATATATAGATAAAACAAAAACTAGAAATTTTTTACAATTGACAATATGTTAATAATAATATCTTTTTATAATAGTTTTGAGGCTTTCACGGATGTTTTCTTCAGAGGTGCTAAAGATTTCACAAAACGTTGGTATTAGCAATGGATCGCGACACGGCGATAACCCGTGAACTCTTTGGCACCTCTGAACATTTTTATTTGATATTTTTTTTAAACTTTCCTTTTTTTTTTATTTCCTTAGGTGAACCTATATTTGAAGTGATAAAGAATGTCCAACCGGACACGGAGCTGGTGGCTTGGTTTTTGCCAGTAACACAGCAGGATATCGTTATCATTTCGCATGATGTATGCTCCAGATCGGCAATCTACAGGTGCACGATCGATTCTATTTTAGACGGTGAGTGGAAGATATAAGATCACTTAAAATATTGCTAGTAAATATCATTACAAAAATATGATTTTAATGTGCTTAAATCATTTAAGAAATTCTTATAATTTTTACGACGTAAATATAAAACTGATTCTCGAAAGCACTTTAAACATATTATAAAAATAAAGTATCGTTGCAGATAATTATTTTCAAATTATTGATAAAAAGAATGTAATAGAATATATAATAAAATGAAATAATAATTAACCTTAATTAATTTAATATCTGTTTTGTGTTGTGCTGATATACAATACAAAACCAGGAAGATTCGCACACCAAGGATGACTTTCAAATAACGACTATGAAATTCGTTAGGTTGTGTATTCACTAAAAAAAAATTAATTAATTTGTTAAGGCAAGTGGTATTGCACATTATCAGATTTGACTTTTGGATATATGCGTAGAAACGGAAATCTTGGGCGAATGAATCGGAAATCTTCATGCACACGAACGTAAACGAAATTTTACTGCGGAGATCTTTCGCTATTCTCACGAAAATCTTATTCCTTTCGCAATTGATATGTTTACTTGTGAAAGCTAGTAATATTTACGTGGTAACTTGGCGATTTGACGCCGATATTCGGTTTGATTTCAATTAATACTGATTGAGAGTATTGAAAATATATAAGATCGGTCAGCGAAGCATGCAAAATCGAAAATATAGAGAAACGCAAAGGATAATGTTAGAACGATCCATATTAATCAGGATTTGACAGTAATCGATCTATATCTTTATTACATGCTTAATAATGCTGATAATTCGAAAACTGAAGATTGTTGTACATTTTGTGATTAAAATTATTTGAATATGAAGTAATTTTAATATTATGTATTTATAATTAAATTACCTTTCATTCTTATATATTCTTGTCATGGAATATACACATATATGTATATACATTAAGAATTCAAAATTAAAAATAAATTTATTATATGTGTGTAATTTGCACTTTATTCTGTACTCTTCCATTTTAAAATTCAAACAAAAATATCGCGTTCCAATATTGTAACTAAAGATCGTCTAGCTATTCCATAGCTATTGTACTGTCCTTTATCTTTGGTTTACATGCGCAGGAACAGTGGCAGCCTATACATTTAAATCGGAACTCACGAACCTTGTGATCCGTCCGACAAAAACGCCGACCGCATATTTGCATTTCAGATCGTTTTCGATAATCCTGTTCTTTTTTCGATTGCGCTGCGATTATAGCTAAATGATCACAATGGTGATCGATCAGCTGAGGAGATGAAAGACTAACATGAAATTGCCGCATATAAAAATAATTCTGCTCTGTTTTTTATTTCTATAATAGTAAAGTTATATAGCATCAATATGTGTATAACACGCAACAAATGCGATTATATTATTATTTGTTTATTATAACATATAAATAACGAAATAATAGCTTAATAACCTAGTTATATTATATATAATATAAAGTAAAGTATAATTATAATATAAATAGAATATAACATCAATTATATTGCTTGTTACTTCCATGTTGTATTATATTCATATTTGGTGTTTGCTGGGCATGGACCTCGATTATATGTCCTATTTATATAAACATTCGTTATTAGACATTCATAGGATTTACATATAATATAAGACGGCCCGTATTCAATATAGTCCGAAGCTGTGAGAATAAGACGTTCAGTGGACAGTGCTATCTGGGTGCATGACCAAAATGAACTAAATTATTTAAAATTAAGTTACGCACTTTATTAAAAACTTTATTAAAAATATTGAAATTTTTTTTTTTTAAACTTTTAAGAATATTGAAAGTTACTGCTCTCTCTCTCTCTCTCTCTCTCTCTCTCTCTCTCTCTCTCTCGCTCTTTTCTCAAATTGCTTGAGAATGAAATCAATAGAAAGTTTTTACTTGAATTATTCATAGAATCCCCGCTGGATCTTTCGATGACATTACTCGCTCATCATTCTTTGCCAGCGATATCACATTCTTATTACGAGCTGGATGAATACGAATCGACGTCTGAGGAATCCACATCATCAACGCTGTCGTTGGCCGGTGATCATCTCGATTGCAGTATCCTGACAACGATTAAGAGAGGAGAGAGGGTTTTATTACCTTGTGAAGTCTGTGGCAAGTCCTTCGACCGGCCATCTCTTCTAAAACGACATATGAGAACGCATACAGGTATGAAACAGAACCCTAAAGATTATGATCATCCGGATACTGAGATTCTCTTATTTGTATTTATTTTATATCAATTTATATTATATTTCTATTATATCAGCCTATTAATACTTGCTTTTACACACGCGTAGAGCTAATTAAAACTTTGTAATCTCCAGAGCTGAGCATGTTTTTGAAATACTTTTATTTGAAAAACAATATTGTAAATACAATTGTATTTTGTGTTATGTATATCAGCGGAGCACATGAAAGTATTTTACATTTTGTATTTCAATCAGAATAGCACGTAAAAGTATTTTGTATTTCGTTAATTTCAAAGAAAAAGATTGAAAGTATATTTTACATTTTGTATTTCAAATACTAAGATTGACAATCAATGTGAATTACAAAATACAAAATACTTTTATGTGATCCGCTGAAATACAAAATACAATTG